GAGACAGACAGATGCCAACAACTATTTTCTCCTATATGTTATAGGCAATAGATAATTACCTACTTAATATAGTGGGTAAATATGTGCTGGCAGGACATGCTGCACAACAGTAAGGGGCCTAAACTTAACGATGGGTGTAACCATGATATAAAACACAGTTGCTCCTTAAAACAAGGGTGCGCCAAAGGCATGTGAAATGCTTGAATCAGCTGCTTTTCAACTTCTTTCAACTTTCAGCAAGGGATGCCAAATATTATTTTTTTATAGTGAGGAAGGGCAAGATGAAAGGTTAAATTAAGTATATCAACTTCTAACTTTTTCTGGAAAAAAGAATTGTTTGCTTGCTTCTAGTTCCTACTGCAGTGGTGAAATGAGAAACACTAGCCTTACAGTAGGATAAAAAATATCCTCAAGCAAGGTTCGTTTTCTTACATTTCTTGGCCAAATTTACAGCCAAGAGGCCCTGAGTGGCCACTCTTGATAGAGAAAGTATTTGGAACAAAGTGAAGATAAAGCAGAATTCTGCTTATGCATTTCTGTATAGTCAATTCTAACTCAGCGGATGGGGGTGGTTCAGAATGCAAATTCTCCCAGTTCAGAATGGCTCACTCCAACAGAAATTGAGTCCAGACTTTTCTGAATGTTGGGCCTGAGCTTGTATTGTTGTTTGTACCACCACCAGCAGCCTGACCCCTCTCCCATTTCAGACACTTTACTGGGAGTAGGCAAGGGTCGATAGCAATGTTATGAGCAAATTATTTCTCTCCCTGCCTTACTTCCACTGAGGTGCCTAGAACACTGCAAAAACAGCATCCCAGACACAGGAACCTTGGGAAATCATTGCAGAATTCTAGGCATTCCATGAGAGAGAAGTGTGTCAGTCAAAGACATTGGGTGCTGTTGTCCACTGCCAGGAAAGTTTGGGAGAATGGAAGGGAAATAAGTAAAGAGTGTCAGTGAAGCTATTCACTTTTTTGCAATATTTCCTTGCAAGTTCTTGAAAAGGCTTGAAAGTGTTTTTTTAAAGAGCTTGCAAGGAGCAATAAAAAAATGAGCTAGAAGTGAGACAAGATAAGGGGAGCCTACCCATTAATAGTCAGCAGTAGAAAGGCCTTCAGTTTCTGTAATGTCAGCAGTGAGGCAGGGAAGAAGATGTAGTAGCTTTTATGCCTATTAAAGCAAGTATAGTTTGTTCCCTACTTGAATCCATCATAAATATCTTACATAACTATTATTATGCAGGTGGGGAATTTCAAGGGAAACAAAACATTTTGTTTACCACTTCAGTAGGAACTGTGCTTTACATCTGTGTGGGCTGTGCAATCCTCAGACTGCAGCTCGTGACTGAACAGGGCTCCATCTATGCAATTAATTAATTATGCCATTGTTGTCATATTCTTTTGTTGCTTGATCTACAAAGGTTGCAAGGGCAACTTTCAACAAATGCACAGAAGTTAAAAAAAAAAAAAATGTTCACACATTAAGACCCAACAAGTGAACCACCTCCCTTTACCAACTGCATCAACATGGTAACCATTAAAAACAGTGTTCTTGCACAAGAAAAAATAAACTTCGCAAGAAAAAATAAGCCAAGAATCAAATGCCTGGGAGTAGAATGGGGTGGTGAACCTCAAGGTCATGGGCTAACCTTGGCCTGCCAGGCCTCCACATTTGACACACGAGCTCATTTTGACCAAACCATGCCTACCTGCCTCATACCTGATACCCTATGTCCATCTATCAAAATCTAAAAGACCACAGCTGCTGCTGCTGTATTGCTGCTAAGAAGAAAACAAAGCACCAGACTGTCAACTTGAAAGTCATCACAGGTTCTTTTGCAGGGTTCTCCCTCCTCTTCTCATTAACTTTGCAATTGGCAGCATGCATGTTACCAACCACATGGTGCGTTCCATTATATGCTGACTAGGCTTTAACAAGCCTCAGCTTGCGAGTCGGCAAACTATGCACCCAGATTAGAAGCAACACAGGGCTCAATTTTAACTGTTTATAGACTACTATAAATTGCATTAGTATATTAACAGAACTGCCATAGCTACACCTATGGAAACACCTATTCATGAATCCCCAGTGTGTCTGCCTATGCAGTTATAGATTCTATGGGGAGATCAGAAAAGTATGCAACTTAATCTATTTGTTCTTAACGAAACACGGAAATGTAGAGGTTTGCTGGGGGGGGGCGGGGGTAAATTTGTCTTCATACCCATTTCTGGCCAGTGGTACAGGTTGTGTATGACCTGACTGCATCTGACCATCCAGAACAGTCTAATTTTAAAGATCCCAAATTCTCCCATAACATAGTGTTGCCCATCAACAGATAGCACGCAGGCAGCAGCCCATCTAGTCACGGTGGCGAGACGTATCATAAATCTATTACAATTATTATAACATACTCATCTATACATATAACAGTGCAATCCTATGCATGTTTTCAAAAAAGTGGAGCTCACTGCGTTCCATGAGTGTCCACAAGACTGCAGTCTTAATTAACATATACGGGTCTGTGTCCTCTTTTTCAGTGATGCATTGCCTCCTTTTTTGGTGATGTATAAGTGTGTGGTAGCTCCACCTTGCAGTGATTGCGCTGGCAAAAAATTTTTTGCAAGGAAGAGTTGACATGTTTTGAGATGAAGCGGTACAGAGAAAAAAAATACCGTATTTTTCGCTCTATAACACGCACCTGACCATAACACGCACATCGTTTTTAGAGGAGGAAAACAAGGGAAAAAACATTCTGAATGAAACAGTGGATGTATCATTTTTGTGCTTCATGCTGTGGCCACAGACATGTGATCTGATGGTGAATTTGGGGTGACCCAATGCAAAGATCCTGAGGATCCATGTGGATCCATGCTTTTTAACCACGTTTTTGCACCATTGCAGCCCCAGGCAACAGTGGGTGCGTGATTTTGGGGGGGCAGGCTCTAGCCATGGACATGCTATGTGATCTGATGGTGAATTTGGGGTGACCCAATGCAAAGATCCTGAGGATCCATGTGGATCTATGCTTTGTAACCACATTTTAAGTGGGGAGGGAAGGAAAAACAAAGAAGGGAAAAGGAGCATGAGAGGGGTGTGCAGAGAAGCAACTGGCTAAGAATGCAGGAGAGGGATTTAACGGGAGGGAGGAAAGAAAGGCAAAAGTTTCCCCCCACCCAAGCACCCAAACCAGCCAGCTCTCTCTCTCTCTCTCTCTCTCTCTCTCCCCCCCCCCACCTGCATGTTGCCTGCTAGTCCCTAGACGCAGCACCGGAGCACAGAGAGGAATTAGAAGGAACGACTCTGCTTTCCCCTCTGCTTGCCTGGAGGGGAGGGGCTTTCCCTGCTCTTTGTTCCGTTTGAGCAAACACAGCAACGAAACAGAGGAGGGTGGGCAGTAAGACCCTGAGGCAGAATGCAGGAAAGCAGCCACTTCCTCTTTTCAGGTTTCCCTTCTCCGTGACTCGCGATTTTATTTTTGTCTGATTTTTTGGCTCCAGGGACCACACATTCGCTCCATAACACGCACAGACATTTCCCCTTCCTTTTTAGGAGAAAAAATATGCGTGTTATAGAGGGGAAAATACGGTACATTTGCCGTACAGTGTTACAACCCACCTCGTGCAGGAGCCCAGAATGAGAGGAGGATGAACCAGTCATATTAAGAGGACCAGCTGCAGAGGGGCTGAACCCAAGTCCAAACCCAAGTCAGTGAGGACCCCCTTGAATTAGAGACACCCAGCAACACAACTCCTGAGCAAGATTCCCCTGAAGGATCATTCTTTTCTAAATGAGGGACCTCACATTTCGCTGTACCTGCTCACCAACACAGACAACAGACAGGGTGGGACTGGACATTTAAGATGTTGCATGGGTTCCAGACCTTTTAAACTCTCCACTCTTTAGGATGGAGACAAGGCCTGGCAGGGGTAGTATGGCCCAAGAAAGGTTTAAAAGAAACCTTCAGTTCCTTGCTGGAGTAAATTGTCTACTTATAGTTATCTACAATAATAATAATAATTTATTATTTATACCCCACCCATCTGGCTGAGTTTCCCCAGCCACTCTGGGCTGCTCCCAATCAAGTGTTAAAAACAATACAGCATTAAATATTAAAAACTTCCCTAAACAGGGCTGCCTTCAGGTGTATTTTAAAAATAGGATAGCTGCTTATTTCCTTGACATCTGATGGGAGGGCATTCCACAGGGCGGGCACCACTACCGAGAAGGCCCTCTGTCTGGTTCCCTGTAACTTGGCTTCTCACAGCAAGGGAACCGCCAGAAGGACCTCGGCGCTGGACCTCAGTGTCCGGGTAGAACGATGGGGGTGGAGACGCTCCTTCAGGTATATAGGACCAAGGCCAAGGTCCACAATTGATGCTTTCAGCAACTGAGGGACTATGGTCACTTCAACATCATCTTTTTACGGAACGGTCATCTTGAATGTTTTCCACCACAAAGATTGTGGGGAGGTTAGTTCATGCTGGCTATTTATTGAGGATTCATTCCTATCTATTTGCAAGCAAATACTGTTCCACACTTCCCAACGCAATTCCCCCATTGCTTTCAATATCACAAAACATCTGCTGTTGGGGGAAGAAGTTTTTTTATTATTGCTGGTTTTCGGAATTTTTATTATTTAATTAAATAGTATGAAATATAGCTTCTGTAAGCATCCTGTAAAACATGTTTTCCAACCCTTTACAGTGCCATCACAACTGAATCACAGTCTGTCACTTTAATTTTACTGCAGAGCCAGGAAGTGAGCCCCAAGTTTTCAAATCTCACCTACGCTAGCTCATGAGTCACCTCTAAGGCTGAAACAGCTTGTCACTCAAGTTCTTCCTGGCTCAGACCATTCAGACCAGGAGTAAAGAACTTGGAAGCCAGCACGCTTTAATTGTGGGCCTGATTTACCCCTACGTCTAACTTATAAATCCACCTTACTTAGAATCTTCGGATACTTAGTTCAAAACGTGTGTTTTTTCTTGTCCTGGAGAAAGCAAACAAGACTTTAATGCTTTGGAAGAATATAATGCACCCTGGAGACATTGCTACAAGTATTGACAGCAAAAAGCCAAATGAAGAGCAACACAGATGACAGGTAATTTATTTTATATTTATCTCAAAAGAGTGCAAAATAGAAGGCTTGTACTTTAACGATACCTCAAATTTTCAAATCGTTCTTGGTGAAATGCGTGCAGTCAAAACAAGGTGTTTGTAAGTTTAGGCTTCCATTGGTCTGTATCTCTAGTCTAGATTGATTTTATTTGTCTAGTTCCAAAAGTTGAAAAACTCTCATGTTGTATAACAGGCAATTATGAAATTAGGAACCTTTAACTTTTTAAAAAATGACTTGAAAGGTTCTTCTTAGATCTGCTGGGTCTTGCTCAGCTAACGTAGCATTGGGTTTATATTCTCTTTAATTGCTCTAATGAGGCATAAGAAGTTCATGCTAGAACATGCCAGGCAAGGAATCTCTGGAAAACACCAGAAACAAGGGCATTAAAAGCCCCTCAGCTTAGTACACCATGAACTGGAGTAATTAATTTGAGTGTTCAGCTAAATTTCTGATAAATGCAGAGTAGCCAACAGATTAAAGCTTTTCTACTTAGCTTATACACAACCTGTTTGCAGTCTTTCAGATATGTGAACTGATATCACTTTTATTATATGCATTTTAAATCTTGAGACGTTTCCAAGATTACACTGCGGTATATGCATTGCTTTGTTTGGAAAGAAACAAGGATACCTTATTTCTTTTATAAAATACAGACGTGCCTTTTTGGTACATCAGACAATGTATGCTTTTTCAACTGCCCCCTTTGCTACTCGTTCAAAATCATAACAAAAATGGTTTCATTTGTATGCTTTTTTTTTTTTTTTGTCATTCATCTGTCTTCCACTGCTAATCCTGAAGTTCTCACTAGTCTCCATAGGCCTGGTTTTGCTCTTGTACGGAGCATAAACCTTTGTGCAGCAGCTGCAGAGAAATAACTAGGGATGCCTGTATGGTGGGAGAAAGAGAAGTGGGCATGCGTGAAAGATGTCACTGGGTGCTTCCACTGTTGGGATTCTGTCACATACTGACAGATTCAGTTTGTGCAATTAAAGTTTACATGGACCTCTTGGGTCCACTTCTTCAAAAGACTGGATTTATTTCGTGGTAAGGAAGGTGACAGGGAAATACAGTGTGAAGTGTGGGAGCACTACCACGTAACATTAAACAAATCAGAATGAATGCTCGTTAAATAACCAACATCTAATTTCCCTGCAAATGTTTCAGGATGCTCAGTAAACGGGTCACTTGAAAGCACCCATTTCTCACAGTTTGTGGGAGGAGAACCAAACAGCGTGTTAAGAGGTTCTGCTTTCTGGGGGTTTTCTTTTTTCAACCTTTGCCTCTCTTTCCCATCTCATTTCAGCCTCTTTTTATCCTTTAGTTTATCCCTCTTGTTACACACGCACACCAGTCTTCGTTCCCTCACCACAAGTGCCTTTCTTCCACTCCCCACCCTAAAAGAACTCTAGGCAGAGTTAACTCACCAGCCACACAGTTCCCTGTACGTGTAGTAGCATGCAACACTGTCTGGGTTGCTCCAATTCCCAAGGTGCCCAGGGAGCCCTGGCATTCTGAAATGCACCATGCAATGTTATGCTACTCAGTTCACAGAGGAACCAGTCCATCCAACATGATACTACAAACTGTTCTGGACCGATGGAGTGCAGAGAACACTACAGAATGTCAGAATGGGAAGAGGAGGCAAGTTCTTCTTTTATTTGTTGTTTTTTTCTGAAATTCTAACTTGCTTTTATTTTTAGTATAATTAGCATCACAGGAGAGTAAGTATCTGATTCTAGTAGTTATTCAATCTGCAAAAACTCTTTTATGATAAATGTGCAGAATGACAAGTACAGGAGATTCTTTGGATAGAAAATATTTCATTTCTTTGCTGTTTTAACTTTGAAGGTTATATGTTGCGCGCACACACACACACACACACACACACAGCTTGTCAGGTGAACAAAGTGTAAAGTTTACAACGGTAGCAGAATAGCAAAATGCCATTCTAGAATCCAGGCCAGGTTTCTGGAAAGACCTTTTAGTAGCAAAGCAACTGCTAAATGTTATGATACAAAAACTTCTAAATATTTAAATTAAAAAATGTTTCTGTGTATTGCACTCTACCCAGTGCTACCTATTTCTGCAAGTTAAAGAAAAAAATAGTGTTAGAATTTTTTAAAACCATCATTAGGGGTTCAAAGCTCCTCTCTGTCCAGAACCAAAACTACTCATAGCCAAACAGGCTAAGTGTAGTCACATGTGGTTTTATCCACACGGCTGCTCAGTCCGCACGTGTGGAGGGTTTACTCTTTGCATGAAAAGGAGTGCCCACAGGATGGAAAAGAAGCCCATTTCTTGTCCCCTGCCTGACTTTGCTGCATGCGTCCCATTGCTTTAAGCAGCAATCTCCCTTAGCCTGGCTCCAAGACTGAACATGAACTCATGAACTAAGAAAATGTCTTAATGCAGGAGAGCACAGTGAACTAAGTGAGGGTAGTGGGTTGTTTCTCTCCTCTTCCTCGTGTACTCATTTTCCTGTAAAGTGCCCCAGTATCCCTGCTTCATAAGGATGGGACCCCCATCACATCTAGCTTGACTGAAATGGCATCAAGCAGAAAGCTGTCCCAGTGATAGCTTCCGATGCACAGATGTTTGAGGTGACTGTTACAGAACCCTAGAAGAACTGACTCATCTCTTCTCCTCCCTTGGCCCTCCATAGCTGCCTTTTCAGCTTTAGACGCAGGAAATTAATTCTCTCCCCCTTCCCGGCCACTGATGTCAGCTGCAAGTCAAAAGCAAAGCTGCAGAAGCCACTGATTAACAGAGCTACCCAGCCATGCTGCAATGCCGTCTAAGTAATCATCTGGGGATCGTGGAGTCTCTGTCCAGCGGGAGACTTAAAACAAAGATTTCTGTCGCTCCTGCAGCTCGGCTATTTAAGCCTGAAAGCAAATGTCTAAGGGCAGATCACTTGGCAGCTTCCCAGATTCTCGGTGTGGCATTTCAGCTCCAGCATTTATCAATGGAGTGATTTGTTCATGTTATAAAGTCCATGCTCATGTATATAGTGGGGGACTGGAAGCACTTAAATAGCACACCCAGGCAATCTATCCAAAGGACAGCTACTGGGTTGTACTCCAGCCAGGTCAACTCTTCAGATTTATGTCTCAAATATCACCATATTTGGGGGGATTGGGGTGGGGAAGAAACATGAAGTGCCCTGAGCAACTTAGAGAAAGGGCAATATAAAAATGTTAGGAAAGCAAAAGGCACAAAAATCATGCAAAAGGTTTCCATTTCTATGAGCATCCTGCATCTGACGTGGGTGGTGCTGTGGTTGGCATTTCGAATCTGTGCGATGGGGTGAGCTCCCATTGCTTTGTCCCTGCTCCTGCCAACCTAGCAGTTCGAAAGCATACCAGTGCAAGTAGATAAATAGGTACTACTGTGGCGGGAAGGTAAACAGTGTTTCCGTGCACTCTGGCACTTGTCACGGTGTTCTGTGCAGCAGAAGCAGTTTAGTGATGCTGGCCACATGAGGTCAAATGCTGTCTCCCTCGGCCGAAAAGCGGAGATGAGCGCCGCACCCCACAGGCAAATTTGACAGGACTTAACCATCTATGAGTCTTTTACCTTTACGTTTATTTAGTTAGCCAATTCATATACAGGATGCTCATAGAAATGGAAACTTGTAGCATGTTTCTTTTGTGTTAACGTATGCCTTTTGCTTTGCTTTCTTTGGAATATGTTCTTAGTGGCTGGAAACTTTAAGAAAAACTAATGTAGGTTGCAGGAGAATTCCTTTAAAAGTTAAGCATATCATTTTATGTATAGGTGCACTACTTTTGTATATGGAAAAGAAGAACAAAGTTACCAAAATCTTCAACACACAATAGAGCAGTAGCGCGTGTTTCTGAATTATGTCGGGTTTGAGTGGAGTCAGTGAAATCAGTATTACAAGATGAAACAACTACAGTATAAGAAGCAGAATTGCTATGCAAGCCAGCGGCAATCACCCTGTGCCTCTTGGGCAGAATCCTTTACACCTCTGAAAGTATGGTTACTCTAACAGATCTGCCCCAATGGGAAAACCTATGGATTCTACATCTCCAAGTGAGTGTTTTGGCAGGCAGTCACGTAGAATGGCTGGCAGCTTTGATTGTAGTTTGAACAGCTAGATTTGGTTAGCACAGAATACTTCAGCTTCCTGGTGGCTGAGTGGACATTCTGTCTGCTGGAGCTTAATTAAATTAGTGGTTTAGTTAATCCTGTTCATGTAACCTGGGGTGAAGAAACACTTTCAGCCGGAAAATGGTGGTGCCAAGGGCAAAAGTCAGCAGAGCTGCAGCTGTAACTCTTACATACAGTGGCTGATATTCCAGCCACCCAGAGGTCAAAGGTTTCTATGCCCCCCACTCCATCCAGGCTGCAAGAGACTTGGACAGTTCAAGGACACATTCCAGCTAGTCAAAAACACTCAAAGAAGGCACAGCAGAACCAATGAGAGGTGTGGCCAAGTGCTATTTTTGCATAAAAATGGTACCTGCTCTGACAATGGGGCAGATGGAGTAGAGAGGGGTTTTTTAATGGAACAAGGAATGTGGTTGGGTAATAAAGGAATAGAAAGTATCTCTCCAATATAGCAGAGAAACATGCCTGGTAGTTTACATAGGCAGAAATGAAGTCTGTAGGAAGAATGGAGAAGCTGCTTCATTCCTCTGTTTAGAAATGGTGACATACACATAAGGCACACACTCAAGAACTCACCCGCTAAACAACCTTGTGTTCATTGTACTATCAACAGAAAATCTCTAAAATTAAAATACCATTTGGAACAATAGCTAGGTGTGCATTAAAATAACAGAAAGTCTAGAATTCCTTCTCTTAATTGCAGAGTTAATTTTAGGAATCCATCACCCTTAGTCAGGTCTTGTGCTCCACCCCACAATGCAATGCTGAGCAACGTCCACACCTATTTTAACAATACGTCCCCTTTCCTAACTTGGCAGACGTGACCTACATCTGCAACCTCTCTTTCC